CATTCAACTAATGTCCCTGACCTAGAGATGTGAGTGACAACCATCAATATTCATGTCTGATCTTCCGGTACCTCCTACTCTTACGTTGAATGTCAGCATTCTAATATTTCAACTATTGGTAACTAGTATACATACACTGTGAATTTGTGTTTGTTTTGTTCTGTTCTTGGTTTTGTTTTGTTTTGAGACAGGGTTTGTATAACTGTTCTGGCTGTCCTGGAACTTGCTTTTGTAGAGCAGGCTGTCCTTGAACTCAGATTGGCTGCCTCTGCCTCCTGAGTGCTGGGATTAAAGGCACGAGTCACCATACCTGGCATAAATTCGTTTTTTAATCTCAATTGGGTCATTTCTAATAGTAGTTTAACTTCTTTCTTCTTGGTACATTTTCACTTTTGGTCAACATTTTAACAGTAATTATCATATGCAAGCACTTGACCGCTCCTTTAATGGTTTTGATTTTTTGCTTGCCCATTTGTATTATGAACACTCAGTAAATACCAGCGTGCTGCCTGCTTATTCCAGCTAGCTCTTTTAAACAGGATATTGCCGAGAATACTAAGACTTTCTCGTGGAAGAAAACTGAAGTGACCTTGTCTAAATGAGTTTATTCCTGTGTCTCTTACTGGTCAGCCATTCTATCACAAGTAATTTTTCAGTAAGGGCATAATAGGGAAGATCCTATGACTTATTCTTTTCACAAGTAGTCAGATTTAAGGGAGTATGCTCTGTTTGTGATTGCCATATAACTACTGGATTGGAAACACACAGTTCTAGTGGGAACAGCTTCTCCAGAAAGTGATGATAGGGGAAAATTTAGCGTATGGAACTAAGAAAGCCCATGTAACATTGTTGACCTTTTTCTGCAGCCACTTTACCAATGTTTTAACCAGCAGGGATCTGCCATACAGGCAGCTTAGGCAGCAAAGTTGAGATGTGAAAGCAGCTCAAAATCCAGCAGACAAGTAACACAGGAAGCAGAGGAAGCTCTGCCATAGGCCAAGCTTTAGTTTTCTTTCGGGAGCATAATTTGGGGGCTTAGGAAAGAATGTGAGATGGGAGAGAAACTCAAAATGTGGAGTGTGCAGATGGCTTTCTTTGGTGGTCCTCTTCCTAGTGTGGGGGAAGGCAAACACTGGCTGAAGTCTCAGCGGCCACATTTTGACACTGAGCATTACTTTGGCCTGCACAGCACACATCCCTTTGTAGTTAAGGCTTCACTCAGGAAAGCTACCCTTGGAGCACTGAGAACTTTGAACTGTCCCCACTCTAATCTGATGCAATAGGTTCAAACTGTGGTGAGTACAAAGTCAAAGAAAGTAGAGCTGCTGGGCGTGGTGGCGCATGCCTCAAGACCATGGGGGCACACATTTAAAGGAGTAGGGAGAAGACAGGAGCGCCTCTGTGCACACTCTTCTTGAAGAACACGTCAAGGGAACAGGAACATAGATAAGTTTGAACCAGGAATAAGGAACACAACTATAAATCAAACACTCAGGAGGCTGAGCCAGGAGGGACAGAGTTTCAGGCCAGCATAGGTTACATAGTGCTAGATTAGCCAGAGCTACATAGCAAGATCTTGTCTAAAGGCGCTTGCCTCTGTGAGCAGCTAACATTACAACATACCCATACCCAGTCATACGGTCTAAAATGAAACTACGATCATGATGTGCATATGATTCTGTGGTCCCATGATCTGTCAACTTCAAGAGATAAGTGATCTCTGTTCTAACAACATGACTTAGAATTCAAACTGTCACCTTTGCTAAAGCTAACAGGAATGTATGAACTCGTTTTGCTGTTTGCGTTGTTATCCGGGACTGACAAGTTCAGTGGCTAACGTGTATGATGGCAAGTCTGATGGAGCTAAGTTCTATCCTGCGACCAACATGGCAGAAGACAGAGTCACACAACCTGCACACACTATTTCACACACGCAAAATAAAATGCAAAAATGGTGGCTCACAACCATCTGTCTTAAAATCCAGTGCCATCTTCTGGCCTGCAGGGACACATGCAGGCAGAACACTATATACATAATATCAATCTTTAAAGAACTTGCAACAGAGCACAACTTGGATGGGTACTCAAGGTGGCACGACTCGGCGGGTGTGTCACAGCTTTCCCAATGATGACATCTTCAGCCATTTGCAAACCACCCAAACTAATGATATGTAAGACACCTTCTTAACTTCAACAACAAAGTCATTCATAAATTATTTTCAGACAGAAGGAAACTGCAAAAGTAATTATTGTAAAAGTACATAATCTGGAGTGAAATGTGCTACCATCTTACTTTTTTAGGATCTTTGCAATGTAATTCTAAATTTGTGTAATATCGGCTACCTTTCTCAGTGCCATGACCAAATACTGTAGTGCTTTTGTTGGCCTACAGCTCAATGGGACATACCCATCTAGGCAGGGAAGGCATAGTGGCAAGGGCACGGGCCAGCAGGTCACATCTATCTAACCAGGAAGAAACAGGACATGAGAAGCCAGCCTGATATATCTTTTTTTAAAAAAATATTATGTATACTATATTCTGTCTGTCTGGATGTCTGCAGGCCACAAGAGGGCACCAGACCTCATTACAGATGGTTGTGAGCCACCATGTGGTTGCCGGGAATAAAACTCAGGACCTCTGGAAGAGCAGGCAGTACTCTTAATCACTGAGCCATCTCTCCAGCCCCCTATCTATATCTATATAATTCCAAGTCACTTAGTGTTACAGTTAAGATTCCATCTCAAAGAAAATGTGGTCAAGACACTAAAGTCCCACTTCTAATGAGGCATGTCCTCCAGTAAGGTTCCATCTTTCAGAGGTTCCACTACCACCCCATCCCCCTGTAAAATGCCCAAGGTCATTCCACATTTAAGCCCAGGTGTCTTTGTTAAAGACCACACAAAGTGCAACTTAGCATTTTAACCATCATTTGTGTCCTTGGCAATTTGTTCAGCTGTAGTGGGAAGCTACAAATTTTAATCAGAGACCTTGAATTTTCTTTTTTGCACGTGTATGTTTACACATTAAGGTGTAAATGTTAAGTCAAATTGACCTCAAGCATCCTTCTAAATTGCTCTCCGTCTTACAGAGGCTGGGTCTCTGACTGAGCCTGCAGCTCCCTGGGATCCCATCTCTGCTATTCCAGTGCTGCAATCACACATGGACCTGCATTGCCACCCAGTGTTTACATGGAAGCACCAAGTGTTCTACTCACTGAGCCAGCTCCACAGCTCGTACATTTTTGTTACGAGTATACATGTGTTGTAAATACTTTGTAAGTTCAAGACCAGCCAGGGCTACATAACATACCTTCTCAAAAACCAGGAAAATATCACATTTTCATTCATGTTTTGCATTTTGGAGATACTGGAAATCCAATCTGGGGCCTCTTTGCATGCTAAATAGGCATTCTGTCACCTACATTTTGGGGTTGAGGGCTTCTAGGCAGGTTTCTCTGTGTAGCCCTGACTGTCCTAGTACTCTCTGTACACCAGGCTGGCCTTAGTCACCTGCCTCTGCCTCCCGAGTGCTTGGATTAAAGGTGTGTGCTATATCAGCTCGATCACTGGACTTATATCCCAAGATCTTTTTACTTTTTTCAGACAGAGCCACAAACTGCTGTGAAGCTCCAAGGCCTTTAACTTCAGTTCTTCCTGACTCAGCCTCAGTAGTTGGAATTACAGGCCTATGAGAGCAGACTCTCCCACATCAAAGTTTACTCTAATTTAAAAGACTTTCAGTACAATAGCCTTCATAAACTTGCTTGAAACATGCCATTTTAGAAAATCACCAAATCATCTAATCAGATGTATTTCAGAAATGTATTTATTCTAATGTCTGGCTCACTTTTCTGGTAAGCATTGGTTCACAAAATACAGCACAGAAGAAACTTGAAGGTGGTTTTACAATTTACTTATGTTATTGCTCTCCACAATATATAAAGATAGTCAACTTACAGAATATAGATTTTGCCCTAGTATCCAATGAGCCATCCCCAAAAAACAATTTTAAAAGGTTATCTGGCAAAATACAAACATCCCTGATTATTTCAGTTCAAGCACAGGAAACTAAGCATCCTTATTATTCCTAAACTACAAAATAACTTTTACAAACTTAAATTGTGCTTATTTTCAACCCTCCAAGTTCAAAACAACTAGTGAATAAGAGATGCCTCTTCTTTTCTATATATTATCACCATTACTGTTCAGTGCACAACATCTACAGAGCCAAAGGCTACCTAGGAACCACCTAAGACACAAACGAGATTCTATCTACTTCATTACCAACAGATGCAATTCACATGGGTACAATCATTAAAGAACTGACCATGGCTCTCTAGTCTTCTCCACATTCTTCTGAAATCTGCAAATACAAAACCCACCTGGTTCTAGATATAAGCTTTAACTCCCCTACCAATAAAAATATATGTATCACTAGGAAAACTACTTGGTTGTAGTTTACCTTGAATAGTAGTGAGAAACCAAGTGGCAAGGCTGGGTTAGGACTTCAGGGCCGGAGGGAAAAAACACAACTTCTTCAAAAGGTAAAATAGCTTAAAGCATTTAATATCTAAACAAATCAATCTGTTAATAATTAGTAGTCACAAAATATGCTTAATATAGAAACCCACATTTGTTTTAAGAAAGTGTAAATTGCATTTTACCTCAAAACATAAATTAACCTGCTTAAGAATCAGCAGCAGTCAAAATCATGGAGAATTTTAAACATCAGAATAAAATAACAATAAGTACTTTATACTGTTTTGTATCTAAAAAAAAAGTTTACAACTTCTCATGAAAATAGTTTGAGGCAACCATTCTTTTATTCTTTAACAGATGTTCAACATTATGAGTAACATTCTTAAAACCTTGTCTTACAGATTTTCACACATTCAAATACTGTGGTCCCCTTTTCTTTGATGGGATTTAATCAAGTTAGAGGAAAAAAAGCATGGTAGACAACTTAATACATTTCCACCAAATTGGAAGTAGTACAAAAATTTAAGGTTCTACAGAACTACACATCGTACCTAATATATCATTAAAAATAGAAGACGGTATTTTCTTCAGCAAATACAACAGCACATTGGTATGCTGTCAGTGTACACCCTTTAATATGTACTGCCATTCATAAATTATTTACAACTTCTACTTTACTGAAGAGAACTACAATTTAAATTTTCTGCAAAACTGGAAAAAAGCAATACAAAATCTGTGAAAGCCAGTGTTTTATATCATATAAAAGCCAGTTCTCTTCAAACACCAGCTACTGGATGCAGTGGTGACTTGGAGACATTACAGTAATTCTTGAGGATGTTTCAATGCGGGCGGCAAGTTTACAGGTCTCGACTCTTCATCAAGGAGTACTAGATCTTCTACCTCACTGCCTCTGTACTTCCTTTTACATATCTTTACCACCACTTTCTTCTTGAGAAATAACTTCAGTGCTTCTCTCGATGCAACTGCCTTTGCATTTTCTTTGCTTTTTCCACAGCCAGTGCCCAAATACACCGACTTACACCTCAACTCACAAACAATACTTTCTTGAGAGCTCTTATTTTGAGGCAGATCTGCCAGTTCTTTCAACGGGACAAAAAACACATCCAGTGTTGCTTTCAGAGCTTCAATAGCTGCATTTAGCAGCTCTCCATGATTCACGCTGGGGCTAAAGCCACCAACAGCTACCAACTTCCACGCCACTGTTTTATACAGTCTATTGAAGAAAGGCTGCTTCTGCTTTACATCTTCATTGGTTAACTTCCGACAAGAGAATTTGACTGAGCTCTCACTGGACTGTGAGGCACTTTTGGAAGGCACCTGTGAAGCGCTACTCTGAGAGCTACTCTTAGAAGCTAGCTGAGACACGCTTGCTAAGGAAGTGCTTTTGGAAGCCATAGAGCCACTGCTCTGGGAGCTGCTCTTGGAAGCTAACAGTGATGCAGCTACCTGAGAAGTGCTTTTGGAAGTCAGCAGTGAAGAACTGGTTGAACTGCTCTTGGGATTTAGTAGAGAGGTGCCTGACGAGGAACTGTTTTTAGAAACTGTAGGTGAAACACTTGCCTCTGAATTAGTTTTGGATGTTAACCCACTTGAGGCTGTCTCTGAACTAGACTTATTAGACAGTAATGGCAACTCTACTTCTGAACTTCCAGAGGAACCCAACAAGGGCACCTCGATCTCAGAGCTGCTCTGAGAAGCCGAGACGGAAGAACCTTCCACAGCACTCTTTTTAGGTGATCCGCTCTGCTGTCTGGAATCAGTGGACTGGCCCACATGACTATTCATACTGGATTTCAACAACGAAGAAACAAATGATGCTGAGCCATGTTTATCTGCAGCTTCTGGGTCAGAAGCTTTTCCAGCCCCTGCTGTTGTTACCTGAGAGGAATTGCTGCTGCTTTGGCTGCATACAGATCTATCTCCTTCACTTGTGGAGCTATTCTGATTAGAGACACCAGAGCTGCTCCTAGCTGACGCCCCACTACTCTCTGACTTGGTGGACGACTCTGTGGATGCCGAACTGTTTTCCTGATGAGCTGACGAACGATCTGTTTTAGCAGATTTCTTTCCATGATCTCGCTCAACGGAAGAATTGTTTTTTCCTTCTATGACTCGTTTTTTGGATGGCTCTTCTATCCCTTCTAGAAAGAAGAAAAACACAAGTATTTCACTAGGAGTCCCACACAGATGTCAATTCATTAAGAAACATTCATTAAGAAAGCACAAAGGCCAGATGGTGGCAGCATATGCCTTTAATCCCAGCACTCGGGAGGCAGAGGCAGGTGGATCTCTGTGCATTTGAGGCCAGCCTGCTCTACAAGAGCTAGTTCCAGGATAGCTAGGGCTGTTACAAAGAGAAACCTTCCCTCCAAAAAGTACAAAGAGGGGGGCCAGAGAGATGGCTAGTTAGTTGAGAGCAATAGCTGCTCTTCCAGAGAACCTGGATTCAATTCCCAGCACCCACACGACAGCTCACAAGTGTCTGTAATCCCAGTTCCAGGTGATCTGACACCCTCACACCAAGGCACATAAAATAAGCTTAGATAAATTGTTTAAGAAAGAAAGAAAGCACAAAGAGGAGCTGGGCAGTAGTGGTGGCACACGCATTGAGGCAGAAGCAGGCGAGTCTCTGTGAGTTCAAGGGCAGTCTGGTCTACAGAGCCAAGTTCCAACACAGTCAGGGCTGTTACACAGTGAAACCCTGCCTCGAAAAACCAAAATAATAAATAAAAAGCACAAATAAAAATATTTCAGGACTAGCTTCTTTTAAAGCATGAAAAAACTTCATTAATATCTTACAGTATTAACAGGATTAATTTCTAATATTAAATTAACAGCGTCAGACATTGGACTTTAAAATCTAAAGCAGTCAAAGGAAACTAACAAATTCAGCACCGAAAACAGACAGACACACACAGTTTAGCTTTAACATGTCAACTAGATTAATACATCATACAAACTCTGGCTTGTTAAAAATTAGTAAGGACAGCAATTCCTAATTATATCAAGCTTATTTTCTAAACTCCTATGTATGTTCACATCTATGATCTGCTAACCATTGCTACTCGATATCCCTCTTTTCTTCACCTTGGCAACCAGTTCATCTCGTGTGGTATGGATTGGAGCATCTGTCACTTTGATGCCTTCAGCCATACTAAGAATTTTATCCATAACTTTTTGAGGGTACCTGAAAAAGAAGCAAAAAGTCGCTTTCAAGGAGTGTTTTTGCGGAACGACTGGCAGTGTGCGAGGTGCGGGCCCTCGGAAAACTGCAGTTCCTGGCTGCAATCAAAGCGCACCAACCGTGCGACTTTATTTCCCGAGATGCCACAAACAAATGCCTCCGGCGCTAGGGAGGCGAACCCCCTAAACCGGGGGTCTCCAGGGTACCGTCGGCTGCACACACCCCGGGGTCCCCCGCCAACACTGAGGTCGGCGCTGCCGCGGACGCCCTCCGAGGGCCGCCAGGGCCACAACTTCCCGCGCTTCCCGATCCGCCCTCCGCTGCGACACCGATCCCCGGCAGAGCCCCTCGGGCAGCCCGGAACGGCTGCCTCCCGCTCCCTCACTCACCGGCACCCCAGGAAGACATGGTTTGCCCAGGCCATAGAGAAGGAGACGAGCTGCTGGAGCTGCCGACGGCGGCTTCCGCTCTCCGCGTCGGCCGCGGCTTCCCCGGGCGTCGAGGGGACCAGGTCTCCGGCATTGCGGAGCAGGAACTCCCGGCGGTGGCGCCAGTGTTTGTCCGTCTCGCCCTCGCAGCGCAGCGTCTCCGCCCAGGCGGCTACTCGCGGGTTCTGGCTCAGGTACTCGGCCACGTCCTGCGCCATGTTGGGCCTGCGGGACGAGGAGAGCGCAAGCGCACCGAGCCAAGGGCGGCCGAGCGGCGGGGCGCGGCCCTGTCAGCGCGGCCTGCACCGGCGAACCTCCCGAGAACGCCCCTCCCGGCAGCCCGAACCCCAAACAACAGAGCACGGCGCCGACGAACCGCCCACTTCCGCCGGCCCGCTCCCTTTTATCACCTCGCCGCCGCCGCGCGCTCGCGCGTCCTTCCGGCGCCAGCCCGTTCTCCCGGGGTGCTTTGCGGCGACGCCGAGCCGCCTGCCACTCGGAGGCAGGACGAGCCCGGCCGAGGCGGGGCTGAGGCAGCCGAGAGGAGGCGAACGAGGGGGAGGCGTCCTCCCGCCACCCTGCGAGGCCGCGCGGCGCCGGGTGCGGCTGGGCCTCGGCGTTCCGGCGGCGCTTTGTGACGCCGCGCTCTGCGTCCGCCCGGGGCCGGGGACAGTGGGCGGGGCGTCCGCCTGCGCGTCTCCGCCCCCGGACGCTCGCGGGGCGCGCGCGGCCAAAATAAACAAAAGCTGGCTTCTCTGCCCGCGCCGCGTGCTGTGGAATCTGCACCTAGAGTGCCGAGCCCCGGGCGAGCCTAGGGGCGTCAGGGGACGCGGGGACGCCTGTGGGGTCGGGACATTAAGGAATAACAAGCCTGAGACCAGGCTCTGGGCTTGATTTCCGCGGTTTCTTCGGTTCTGGGGTCCACCCCGACTATACCCGCTTCCTCTAACGTTTTTGATCCGAAAACTATAAAGAGCCATGTGCCGACAGGCTCTGTATCCGTGTTCTTTGTGGAAATGAACTGTTAGCGCCAGTTGGGCCGAAGCGGAAATGTGCCTGTTTATCGCGTACGCCCGGCCTCTCCCAGGGCAACGGGGCTTTTTTTTTTTCCTTTCTGATTTATGTGTGTGGATGTTTTCTTGCATGTATGACTGTGCAGCTTGTGCGTGCCTGATGCCCTTGGAGACAAGAGGGCTCTCCCGGAGCTGGAGTGACACGGGATTTCGAGCGCCATGTGGGAATTGAACCCAGGTCTTCTGGAAGAGCAGCCCATAGGGTTTTTTTGTTGTTGTTGTTCTTTATTTCAACTTTTAGGTGGTCATAGTTGAAAGTACCCTGCAGTTCTGGCTTGTTAACGTTTCCAAGTCCAGATATTCGTCTAATATTAGTGAACTCAAAGCATGAGTGTAATTATATGTAGTAGTGATGAATTATAAAATTAACTTTCCTTCACTAGATATTTGCATTTTGTTGTGAAAATGCTTATCAGAATAATCAAGCAAAATGAAGTCATTTTGTTTCTAAACTTGGGTAACCATGAGCCTGTGTCCCGACACTATTTAATCCCAGCACTGGGGAGGCAGGTGGGTGTGAGTGTGGGGCCAGAGTGAGTTCCAGGACAGGCTCTAAAAGCTACAGAGAAATCCTGTTAAAAGAACCAAAAAAAGCCGGAAATGTCTTTCAGTGTGGCCACAAAGATCCCCAGTGACACCCACCCCACCCCAAGTGGGTCTTTGGAGCCCTGAAATGAGATTCAAGCCAAGGATATGCATAACTGAAATACGTGCATTTAAACAGCGATCAGGGTGTGGACCTGCCCATTATTGAGTCTCATCGTGTAAGGTGATTGGGACAGTGGTTAGAACCATAAAATCATTTCCAGGATTTACTTCTCCATAAGATTCTTGGGGGAAATCTCATTTCTTTTTCTTTCTTTCTTTCTTTCTTTTTTTTTTTTTTTGGTTTTTCGAGACAGGGTTTCTCTGTGGCTTTGGTGCCTGTCCCGGAACTAGCTCTGTAGACCAGGCTGGGATTAAAGGCGTGCGCCACCACCGCCCGGCCGGAAATCTCATTTCTTAGGGGGGTCTATTGTTTCAATATTCTAATAGAATGAGACTAAAGAGCCTCTTTAAAATACTTTGATTTTAGCCCACACGTTTAATCCGGGGGGGCGGGGGTTGGGGATGGGGCGCGACCAGCAGCAGGCGGATCTTTCTGAGTTCAATGTTAGCCTGGTCTATAGAGCAAGTTCCAGGACAGCCAAGGCTACATAGAGAAGCAAGCCCTGTCTTGAAAAACAAAAGAGAAAAAGAAAAACCAATCAAACAAACAAAGCATCATTTCTATCAAGCCAGTTACAATTTTAGACAAGCAGCGAAAACTCAGCAGTAGGCGATGGTGGTGCACACCTTAACTCCAGCACTTTTAAGGCAGAACACAGGCGAATCTCTGGAATCAGCTTGGTCTATACAGTGAATTCCAGGACAGCCAGGGCTACATAGAGAAACCCTGAAAGCAAACAAAACACCATGTAACTTATATACATGCTGGAGCAATAAAAACCAGCTATTTCATGAAAACTACATTCCCTTCCCAGCCATACCGGGAAGAAACTACAGCAAGTTCAAAAGAGAAATTGAAGCTTCACTGTTGTTATCCCATAGCTTTACCGTTAAGTCTGAAAACTGAAGACTGTAGGAATGCTTACAGTTTAGAAACTTAATGAATTCCTTGACAAGGGGTTCAAAAAGAAAATACTCAATTTCATAGCTAAATGGCACTGGTAAATTTTAAAAACGAGACATTTTTTTCCCTAGCCACCCTGTGTCCTCCTCCTGGCTGATTTTAAGGCCCTTACAGGAAAGCAAATATATGTAACATTTTAACAGCCAAGTTTTTCTCTTTGGAAACAGAGTCTTGCTTTCTCTTAGTTGGCCAGAAACTGGTGATCCTTCTGACTCAGCCTCTAGAGTTTACCCGTCTCAGATTCTCACAGTTACAATAAAAGCAAAAATAATCTGAAAACTACAGTATTTATTTGCAAAAGTCGGGTACTTTATAGAAAAGATATATGTACTTTTGCTTCAGATTTTTTTGTTTGTGTTTTTTAAGACAGGTTTTCTCTGTGCAGCTCTGGCTGTCCTGGAACTTGTTCTGTAGACCAGGCTGGCCTCAAACTCAGAGATCAGCCTGCTTCTGTCTTCCTAGTACTGGCACTGAAGGCAAGACTAGCAAGTGGCTCAGTGGCTAAGAGCCCTGTCCTCCAAGTTCCACCTCTGAGTCCTACAATGAGCAGAGAACCAGCATCTGCTAATTGTCCTCTGTGGTAGTTTAAAAGAAAACTGTCCCCAAAGAGAGTAGCACTATTAGGAGGTGTTGCCTTGTTGGAGTAGGTGAGGAAGTGTGCCACTGTGGGGTCTCATGTCTGCTCAAGACAAGACCAGTGTTCAGTTCACCTCCTGTTGCCTTTGGATCAAGATGTAAAGTCTCTCAGCTCCAGCACCACGTCTGCCTGAATGCTGCCCTGCATCTCTCCATGACTGTAATGGACAACATCTCTAAACTGCCAGCAAGCCACTCTAGTGATATTTTGTTTGTAAGCTAACAAACAAAGGTTTCCTGAAGATCAGGGTGCAGAGCTAAGGCACTAGTTAGCCATAGAGTCCAGGCAGTGGTGGCTGACACCTTTAATCCACTGGGGAAGTGGAAACAGGAAGGGATATGGCTGGATAGAGAGAGGAAAATAAAGTGGGGGGAGACAGGAGCTCAGAGGCGGTCTGAGGATTCAGTCTGAGCATGCAGTCCGAGGTTTTGTAGAGACAGCAACAGTCTGAGGATCCGTAGAGACAAGTTCTCCCTTCCAGTCTGATGATTCAGTAGAGGTAAAAGGTCTCTCTAGGTCACTGCTTCTCTGATCCTTCAGCTTTTGCCCCCTAACATCTGACTCCGGGTTCTCATTATTGAGAACAATTAGAATTCATGCTACAAGCCACCACAACTAAATGTTTTCCTTTATAAGAGTTGTCGTGGTCATGGTGTCTCAGTGACAACAATAATGATTTAAGCTGGGTGTGGTAGCATGTGTATGGTAATCCCAGTGCACAGGAACTGAAGGCAAGAAAGCCAGAAATTCGAGGCCTTCCTGACTGTGATGCCGGGAGACTCACTCCATCTCAAGAAACCAAGGGCTAGGGATTTTACTCAGTACTTTTCTGGAATTCAGCAGGCTCTGGGTTCAATCCCCAGCATTGGAAAAAGGAATGTGTGTGTGTGTGTGTGTGTGTGATTTGAAATGGAAACAAAAAAGAACATTGATTGGCCATCATAGTCAAGAGGGCAGACTGTGGGAGGCAGGGATTCAGTATAATCAGGAAGCCTGTTTCTCTGGCTCTGTTGACCTTGCTTTCTCTGAATTAGCAGGGATCTCAATCCAGCTTTTCAAGGGAATGGCAACTGGTTCTGAACTCACTGCATACACTCTTCAGGGCTCAGCCAGCTCTGGAGGGAGTGAGCCTGTAATTCGTGACAATTTTCGCCTATCTGCTGAGGCTCCGCTGGGAATTTGTTGAGCTTGCTGGCTCATGTCTCTATGCCTTAAATAAACACTCTGACTAGGGGTATGGGATATTCTAATTATAAAGGTCTGAGTCATATTTCCACCCCAAGAATACTAAAATATGAGAAAGGTCAGAATCATGGAAGAAAAATAACACACTCAATACATTAAAGAATTTATATTGGAGAAAACGGAGACCGCGGCACTGTGACTCCTAGGAACGGTTTCCCTACCGAGCTGGAGGTCTCACCCTGTAGTCCAGCTCGGAGCTAGTTAGTGGTCCTGTTTCACCCTCCCAAGCTCTGGGGTTCCAGGCACGCCCAGTACGCCCAGCTACCCGCCCGCAAAGGTCTTAAGGAGTGGCGGTAGGCAGGGACACAGGACAGTGTTTGGGAGGTTCTGGGGCCCAGAGAACTTCCTTTCTCCACATTTTAACCAAAGTGACAAACGTTTTTTTAAATAGAAATTCTTACATTTCTTTATATGGTATTATGCCATTTCATCTTATCGAGTTCCATATTCCTTCTAATGGCAAAAAGATGAGACATCACTGCACTTTCCCTCCCCATTCCTTGAGACATTCTATACTTTATCCTAGAATGGGCCTGATTTGAACCTAGGAAGAACACACAGAGACCACAGAAGAGTTAATGTCTGGAGGTGTTCAGGATGGAGACGGTAATCAACCTGACCCTGATTCTGCAGAAAGTGAGATCTCAATGGGATCTTAAAGACATTTGGAAGCCGGTCTTTAGAAGTGGTTAATGGTTGGTTAATGCTAGAACAATCGTGGAAAGCCGGCAAATGCAAGGGGCCTCTCGCCTTCTTGTTC